TGAGCCCCTAGCGTGCAAGCGGATAGGGAGGAGAAGAACTCGGTCATCCTAGTTATAAAGTGATGCAAAAATTGCTTAAGACGAGTGTACAATGGAACTTCCGATGGGTGAGATATAGACGTCGCGGTTTTGCAACCCCCATCTGCTATTTTGGGTTGGGTTTGGACTTCAATTTTTAGGCCGAAACAAAATCCAGACCAGCCCGAGGATGGTACTCACGCACAAATTTGTAGCATTGTTAACCCGAGCTTGGGCATGCCTATACCTCGCTTAGAGCATCTACAGCCGGCCTTGACAAATTTTAACCTCTCAAACATTCACGGATGTGCCTTGTCGTTGTCTACACGTGTCTGTTTGAGTCCCTGTTTGTCCGTGCACATAACCATGATCCATTTTTCCCTATATATTCGGTCACATGCGTGTGATTGGTGGGGATGAAAAGAGAAAGAGTAGAAAGAGCAAAGAAAGAAAAAAGGTGGTCTGCGGTGTGTCAAATTCTATGTGGCACATGCTGAACCACTAACCGAACACGCCCGGGTACTCCTCATATTGCCCTTATATATGGGTTAAGTATGAGGAGTGCTGGAAAGCCCGGACGTTTGACGAAGCTTTGAGGGGTCCGGTTCAGTCAACTCTCAAGTGTGGTCAGTGGTTTTGTGTTCGCCTAATCAATTTGAGTAGTCCGATTTATGGATACTCTTGGCATGAGCCTCTCCGAGCGCTCGCCTGAAGCGCGCGAGAATGAGTTGGCCCAACGGCGGGCACATCCTTGGCGATCAATTAACAGATGAGGTTTTGGAGCAATAAACAAGCGGAGAATACCTGAAGGGTGGAATCAGAATAATATTGTGTTGATCCCTAAGGTGGAAAGTCCAAAGGTAATTACCCAGTACCGGACTATTAACTTGTGCAATGTGATCTATAAAATTATTCCAAAATGATAGCTAATAGGCTCAAGAAAATATGTCCTGAAGTTATCGCTCCAACCCAGAGTGCCTTTGTGCCAGGCATACTAATTACAGATAATGTGTTGGTGGCACATGAATATTTTCATGCAATAAAGAAGAAAATCCATGGGTCTAATGGGTATTGTGCAGTTAAACTCGACATGTTAAAGGCATATCATCGGGTTGAATGAAATTTCCTGGAGCAAATTATGTTGAAGCTTGGCTTTCATACTTACTGGTTTGAGATGGTTATGGCATATGTATCATCGGTGAATTACAGAGTAAGATTTAATGGCACAGAAGCTGATGAGTTTTTACCCACGAGAGGTCTAAGGCAGGGTGACCCCTTGTCTCCCTATCTTTTTCTGCTTTGTTCTGAAGGACTGTCTAGTTTGTTGGCTCATGAAGAGGAAGTGGGTGCACTAGAAGGTATCCGTGTTTGTAGAAATGCTCCATCTATATCTCACCTTCTTTTTATAGATGACTCATTGATCCTTATGAAAGCGACTATTCAGAATGCAAACACTTTGAAGAGAGTGTTGGATTCTTATTGTGCAAGCTCTGGACAACTTGTGAGTATGGCAAAATTAAGCATATTTTTTAGTCCTATCGCAAATGTCAATCCCAGGGAACATGCCTGCAGGAGTGTTGATATCATGATTGAAGCATTGTCAGATAAATATATTTGCCTCCCCACTATTGTGGGAGTGGATAGAAGTGATTGTTTTCACCATCAAATTGATCAAATTTGTCAAAGACTGAAAGGTTGGAAGGAGAAGGTCTTATCCATCCAAGGAAAATAAATCTTAATAAAGGCAGTGGCTCAAGCAATCCCCTCATATACTATGCCTGTTTTCAAATTGCCTAAAGGGATATGCAAAACGATAACCGATGAGATTGAAGGTTTTTGGTGGGGAGATAGTGAGGAGAAAAAGAAAATGCACTGGTTTGCGTGGTGAAAATTGTGCACCCAAAAAGGAATGGAGGCTTGGGGTTTAGAGACCTACACAGTTTTAACCTTGCTTTACTAGCAAAACAATGTTGGCGACTACTCCAGAATCTAGACTCTTTGTGTGCAAAAGTTCTTAGTGCAAAATGCTACCCAGATGGAGATATACTCAATGCAGTCCCTAAGAAGGGTTCTTTTTTTACATGGCAAAGTATTAGCGCAGGCATACAGACATTCAAAAGGGGATGCATTTGGGGGGTGGGCATTGAATCACAGATTAATATCTGGGACGATCATTGGATTCCAACCTAGTGAATCTAGGAAGGTCAGCACACCAAGAGGAACAAATATGTTAGGGAAAGTAGAAGAATTGACTGATCCACACACTGCCCAATGGGATTAAGCTCTTAACGTTCTGTGTTCTCACCCGTCGATGTTCACAGAATATTACAAATACCACTTCGGTGGAAGTGATGGATGATTTTGTAGCTTGGCATCACAGTCGTTCTGGTACTTTCTTGGTACGATCAACATATATTGTTGAATTTGAACTCCAATTTGGACACCATTGGAACCACGGTAATGGAACAAGTAGTTACCAAGAATGTGACTCGTGGAAAAATATTTGTAGCCTTAAGATACCAGGGAAGGTTAAACTCTTTGTGTGAAAGTGCTTCGTGAGGTACTACCGTGTCTAGTAGCACTAGCTGGTACACATATCCCAACTTCTACACAATGCCCAAACTGTCAT